TATAAAAGCTTTCTTATATACAGTATGGAGTCAAGTCGGGACCACAAATCGTGTTGAATTAGGGACGAAGAATAAATTATTAAAAAATAGCAATACTGCAGTGTTTAAAGTGATATGCAAGCATCCAAATATAGTACATATTCAGTTTTAGTTTTAATAAATTTTTATGGCCCCCGGGGCCAGGATGGACACCAAAATGGTTAAGGATTTTCATCCCCCAAAAAGGGTATCTTCTTACAGCAAAAGTATGTTTAAAATCGATCCTACAGGTAGGAAATTGAGCTTTCATTTTCATTTTCATTTTCAGCTTTCATTTTCTCAGTAGCCTTGAAACCGTCGAAATATAGTGTCCTTTTCGACAGATGGCATTTAAAAAAAAATAAACTACGCAAACTAATTATAAAGTAGAGTGAGTGCTATTCAACGAAAGAATCTTACAAAATTCGTTCATTTATTGTAAAAGTCGCAGAACATAATTTAGTGTTGCAATGTAATGGGCATGAAATTTTTTAAAATGTTCAAATTTCTACGAAAATATTTCTATGAGAATTATTTTAAGCGACACATTTTGAAATTCTTTGCCAAGAATTCCGCCCATTTTTGTCCCCCGCTTTCACTGAAAGTGGGGGATATTAATTTGGGACTGTCTGTCCGTCCGTCCTCATTTCTATCTGTCTGTAACACTTTCGTTTCCGCGCGATATCTCGAGAACCCTTTGAACTTTCGCAATGAAATTTTACATAGCAACTCCCTATGTCTCAAAGAAGAACCCTATTGATTTTGAGGTCAAAAAGTCAAAGGTCAAGGTCATAAATTAATAATTTTGTCTGTTTTAACACTTTCGTTTCTGCGCGATATCTCGAGAATCCTTTGAGCTTTTGCAATGAAATTTAACATAACAACTCCTTGTGCCCTAAGGAAGACTTCTATTGATTTTAAGGTCATCTTCGCTAGCCAAGGGTTTCTGATCCGCTTCTCTCCTCACAAACCCTTGGCATACGGTGCAGTCAAAAGATTGTTTACGACACGTGATCTCGAATCTTCCAACATACACACAAATTGCGTCATCGACAAAAATAAAAGGCGTATTTGAAAATTTAAGTTTTTAAAGAATAATTTACAAGAAGATATCGAGCAATGTTTAATTTGTTATTTATCGTGCAAATCTACATCTACAATAAGATTCCTGATCAAAATATTTGTACATCAGCTTAAGATTGGATGACACCATATCTATTTATTGAGTGGCATGTTATCTTACGAATCGTTGTTTACTTGTTTTTTTCATTACCGAGATTAAAAAAGCAAGATATATTCCGAAGGCAAATATCATCATTTACAAAAGCAATTTCTGATTGGTCGAACGATGTCGATCAACTCCAATCACAACTCGAGAAAAAAAAACCCAACTTTTAATAGCACCGTATGCCAAGGGTTTGTGAGGAGAGTAAAGGATCAAAAACCCTTGGCTAGCGAAGATGTTTTAAGGTCAAAAGGTCAAAGTTCAAGGTCGTAAATTCATACATTCCGTCTGTGTGTAACACTTTCGTTTCCGGGCGATATCTCAAGAAGCTTTTGAGCTTTTGCAATGAAATTTTATACCATAACACCCTCTGGCCTCTCTCACCCCTCGCCAAGTGTCCCGCCGCGTTTTTTTTTAATTTATAGTATTAAAAGTCGCTTGGCACTATTTTTAGCACGGGGGCATCTGGAGAGTTATTACGTATAATAAAGGTTGTCGGCGGACTTTATATTCTAATTACATCTTTTAGAATTGTTTAGTAAATGCTTAATTAGACACCATGTATTGTGCAAACTTTTGACAATATCGAACGTGAATATAAACATTATATGTGACCTAATGTTAACTTTAATTTGGTGTAAAATCAAGTGACTCCGTGGTCTAGGGGTATGACTCTCGGTTAATATTTGAGAGGCCCCGGGTTCAAAACCGGTCGGTTCTTTTTTTTTTTTTTGGATTTTTTTTTTGGGGGGGGGGGGGTTACCATATAAATGATAGTATTCAGCATGTGAAATGAAAAAGTTATGACGTCTGGCTTGTACAAACTCATAAAATCATTATTACAGTGTGATAAATATTCTATACAAAAAGAATCTTCTATACACATATTATAGAATAAGCAATCAAATCTTTATATCCATATTGGCATTTTTTATTTGCTTCAATATACATGTATACATGTAGGCAGGGGATGCTCACTCCTCCATGGTACCTGATCCCACCTCTGATGTTTGGAGGTCCGTGTTTGCTCTGCTCCTATTTTGTATTGTTTAATGGACTTTTGAGCTTGAATACTGTTCGTTATCTCAATATATTTTATACATTTAATAATTCTACAAATCAAAGGGGGGGGGGGGAGTCCGACCCCCCCCCCGGAACTGCGCATGCTCTTCTAATTCCCCAAAGCGGGGGACACAAATTCTCTGAATTAGTTTGTCTATCCTAAACCTTGTGTGCCACGTATGTGAACTGGGCTTTAGACTAAAACATTAAAAGAAGATCAATGACATAAAAGAAAAAAAATATTTAAAAGGTTTAACATTACAGTATTCTCTGAAAGAAATCCACATTAACCCATATATCTGAAAAATAAAAGAGAAGCTTTGTTATATCTATACTTATAAATTAATAAATTTTGCAAATAAACTCCGAAACGGGTGCACCAGAGTTCTTACTTACTTCTCTAACAATACACTAGATACAAGCTGATGTCCGTAAACTATATTTAGATTTCACTCGCATAGTAAGTATCGTACATTAAATTAAAAGTCCACTTTCATTTTCTATAAACAGCCATGAAATAGCTAAAACGTGAGTACGGTGGCGTTTCCGGTTGGCGGATCTAAGTTACTGGCAATTATTAATGAAACTGACAACAAGCAATCGTTTATTTATTACATGAAACGTCATCACTGAATTATTCAATCAAAACTCGATTTAAATGATATAAAAGATATAAGTTGTGATAACCGATTAAAAAAGGGAAATGTGCAAAATATTTTCGTCATTCGCCGATCTTTATATTGACGGAAGCTTCTAGAACATCATATAGCATCGAGCCCGATGTTAAGAAAAAAAAAAACGAGGCGATGATAGCTACATGACCATAAAAAAAAGCTTTTGTGTAAATGGTCATAATTGAAATAATGGTAAATCACTGATAACACTATAAGTTGTGAATATAATTATATCGAAAGACTATTACATATACATGTATATAGTAGGTTTTCCTAATAAATTTATCGGTAAAATTTGTATATATTCCTTACTGAGAGCATCGTGGCAACGAACCCGAAGTACAATTTGTACTTCGTAATAAACTTGCTTATATGAAAAGAGAAAATTAATGAATAAGGTATTGTTCAATACAATTAAAGATGTAAAAATTTGCGCTTTAATCAATGCACAATTAATTTCTGAATACAATCTTTTATAGCTGCAATAATGTAGCCCTCTCCTTTTTTGAGGGGGGGGGGGGGGGAGGGGGGCAGACAGAGAGGCCAGAAAATATCAGATCCAAAAAACAAAAAAAAAATAGGAGAGGGCTACATTGTTGCAGCTTAGTCTTTTGTATCAAATACTGAGCCTATTCATAGGGCGTTAAAAGCTAATTTTTACACAGGTACTTGGTTCTTGGTTTATAGATATGTATGTACCTTATTGATAGGTAAAAAAGGTAAAAAAGTAAAGTACATTTTTACATATCAATAAGGTACAAACATATTTATAAACCAAGACCCAAGTACCTGTGAATTCCCCCCTCCCCCCCACCCACCCCCAATCAATTTATCAGTAAAATGTGCATATTCGTCGCTTTTATCCTAGACGGAAATGAAATAAGAGCATCTGAAGCACAATATCCATAACATAGTATAACAGGTCTCACAATAAACGTCAATTAATGAAATTGCTATTTTTAAAAAAAAAATAAAACAAATAAAACAAACACAAAAAAACGGGAGGTTTGGGGGGATGGGTGGATTGGATAGGTAAATCTACTTCATTGGGAATTTGAACAAAGTATTTGTTCCTGCTATAAGCCTGTAGGCTGTCAGTAGAGAACTACAATATATTTTCTGTCGGTAGTGGTATAAATTCAATTCCCCGCGCTTGCGCGGGATTTCATCTAGTAAAATTGATAAAAAAAATCATCATAACCTAAAAGTCAGGTAAAATTGAGACCCTTGAGGGTTTGGTCGAAATTTCTGGATCATATGCAAGTGATTCTATACTTTGTTTAAAGATCCGCGTGATTTATCTAATCCTTAGATATTATGGTTTTATAAATCTTCTGTTTATATTAAACCTTATCAAAGAGTAGTGGGAGTTGAAAACAAGATATATCTATTCTCTCCAGCAAAAAACTTTTAAAAAAAATAGATGACTCAAATGAAACCTAGATTGAGAAAAATCACCTAGACATATGCACCGCCTCAGAAACCAAGATTGCTGAATTAGTTTGATACTGCACTTGCTCTACTGTTGAACACTTGTGCAACATGCGCAGATACATGTAGTTATACTGCGCAAGCTCGGTGAAACAGGACGCTTCTTCTTAGCTATCATGAAATTTTATAAAATTTCACATTTTCTGGCTGATCCCACTGGACTGGACTCGTGAGGATCAACAAGGACTACAAATTTTCATTTTCTACACTCCATCGTTAAGGGAATTAGTGGATCTACCAATATTTGGTTTTTTTCACAATTAAGTTGATACTGACAAGAGAATATTCTCTACTTCCGGCAAATGTAAACAATGAAACATCTTTTGCTTGCATTATGTTTTATAACTTTTGTGGTAAGTAAAACAATGTATTGCCTGCATAAGACACGACCAAACACCTACGTGTCTAAGGAATTTTCCTTTTCCCTCCAACAGCCCAGTTATATCTGTGCAAACACCTGCATTTACTACTGGCATATGAACACATTCCAACAGAGGAAATTCTAGCCAAGTGTGGTTTGCGACACTTCAAACTTTCTGTCTATTTTATTAATTATAGGCGGTGTAGAAACAAACCCCGGCCCCTCTACCTCAAGTTATATGTGTCCCATATGCGACAAACCATGTGACTGGGGACAAAGAGCCATTGCATGTGATGAATGCAACCATTGGTACCATGCAACATGTACGTGGGTGGACTCTGAGGAATATTTATTTCTATCCAACGAGTCTGTCTCATGGTACTGTGTAGTTTGCAATGCCCCAAATCATTCAACTGTATTGTTCGACTCAATTGACTCTGCTGATAGTAATACCTTTTCAGTTTTGTCATCAAGAGATACTAGTAATGCAGACCCAAACTATAGCAGTTTATCAGATACCAGCTTTGGGGAACCTATGGCATCCTCATCATTAACGCGGGTATGTTAAGGAAGCATATAAGTCAATTCTCTGGAAATTTAGACTTTTTAAAGAAAATTAAGTTTGATAATTTACCAAAACCGCTGATAAATGTAAACTATTATTATCTATTGCATAAAGATAAAAGAGTGTCTAACGCAAAGACGTGCACCACCACCACGGCATCACGTGACTTCTATTAATAGCGAAATTTTCCTTAGTAAAAAAGCCAACAGAACAACAATACCCCGAAGTGTAATAATTTCTTTGAGTAAATAATATAGTTGGAAAACATCTATTTTGCCTAAAAAGTGCTGCTAGATTCCCACTGTTCCGTCAGTAAAATAATAATTCCACACATTCGCACGAAACCTTACCCGATGTTTTGAATTTTATACATATAAACCGAGATTTTTCGTAAAACCATGCTTAACTCGGGATTCTAGCAGCACTTTCCAAGTATTTTAGGAGGCAAACTTTCCATCTGTACAAATCTTATGTTTTGAAATATACAGCTTATTGTTGTTCTGCTGCATTATTTTTGTCACAAATGACAGAGGAAAGGCCGACCGGGATACGTATATAGCTGGCTGTCTTCGAAGAGAATACAATCGATGAAAATAAATTAGCATACCTGTTTTAGTAACTGAACTCCATATGAATTTCACAAAATATTCAGGATATTTGCTTTTAAACTCCATTTTACGTATCTTTGTACATGCCGTCTTAGCCAAATTCTCTTTACACGACATGATCAATTCCCAAGTTACTTGAAGTACACATATGACGTCATCGGTGGTAGATTTTAATCAAAATGACAGATACAGCATAACAAAATAAAAACATTTTATTTTTGTTAATGTTTACACGTTTCTATTCATTTTCTAGAGTTAAATTACATCTCTAAATACGAATATTACGAAAACTTGTATTCTAAAATTGACGTCATCTCGCCTACTATGACGTCATAATGTAGCACTGATTAAGTCAAGGTAGAATATTTTGTATGCTTCCTTATTACCCCTGCGAAGGCAGCCAAAACAACAACAACGAGGAAATGCGCGGCGGAATCTTCGTATTCTTGTTACCAACTTTCAGAGTTTTAAAAATAAACGCAATGATCTCCAAGTCATGATTGAATCAACAAAGCCCGATGTTATCCTTGGGACCGAGACTTGGCTGAGTGATACGATATGTACATCAGAAATATTCCCTCCTAAACTTTGGTATGATGTGATACGTAGGGACCGGGATGGGGATGCACATGGTGGTGTTCTTATAGCAGCTACAACTGAACTCGGCCTGAATCATCTTCACACCAGTAAGGACTCGGAACTCATAGCCGAAAGAAAGTGATATTGTCATGCCTTTACCGTCCACCAAATGGGCAAGATCAGCAGACAACAGATAAAGCTATACATGATATAAGTGATCTGCGTTCTCGACATAAGAACAACATTTTCATACTGTTACAGTCTACGGCTTACTTTGACATTTAAACCTGCCTTATGTACGGAGGTACGGTTTTGACAATAGACAAGAAAGTCTTAATAGTGGTTATAGGTATGGTGCTAGGGGCACTAACATGATTTACCGGCATGCAATCAACGCAAAAGGTGATGGGATTCAGAATTAAATAAATTACCTTATTCGTGAGGTATAGTATCTCCTTCCAATCTCATTTTCTGAAGGAATCAAATAAGGAAGAAAAACCATTCCGGAAGGAAAACTAAGCAAGAGTTCATCAATGTGGGAAGGGTGGGGGTTGAGGGTAGGGTGGTTACTGGTCACTTGCTCGACAACGTAAAATGTGCTTTGGAATGGCCTATTATTATCGTTTAATTAACTGTTAAGCTCAATATTTATATCGCAAAAGAGCTTCCATATATTGTCCTAGCGTAAAAGTAAGTCGTCGATTGTAAAGGTCAGCGCTTCTCGCAAAAGTCCATTAGGAAGTGATTTCAATTTACCAGACATCGACTGGGATAACTATGCCATCAGTGGTTCACAAACATCAAGGGAGATAAACCACGCTTTCATGCAGATGACTGCCTACCTAAACCTGCAGCAAGTAGTTGATATCCCAACTAGAGGAGAGAACATCTTGGATCTACTTCTAACATCCCATCCTGGACAACTTAGTCGATGCAAGACTATCCCACCACTCGGAAACAGCGATCACGATGTAGTACTCATAGATTTTACAACACACATAACTCGACCGAGACCAAAGAGGAGAACTATATATTTGTGGAAGAAAGCCAATATCAATGGCATCAGAGACGACCTCCTAAGTCATATAGATACCTTCACGCATACCAACTTTGAAGATGTTAACAGCATGTGGGGGTATATTAAAGATCTCATATTAGGAGCCGTTAAACATCATGTACCATCTCGTCGCACACTGACTGAACATACCCACCCATGGATGACCTCTGAGCTGAGACGTCTTAGCAACAGGAAACAAAAAGCCTATAAACGTGCTAAGCACAGCAAGGACCCAAATGATGTGAAGCGATAAAAGGCACTCAAAGGGCAACTACAGAGGGAATCCAGAGGAGCACACAGAGATTACTTGGAGGATGTTGTCAGCGATGACCTACGTACCAACCCAAACGGTTTTGGACATATATCAAAAACAGGAAGCAGGATTCATCCCAAATAGTGACTTTGAAGTCCAAAGACGGATTCCTTCACAGCGACACTGCCAGCAAAGCCTCCATTCTTAACGAGCAGTTCCAGTCTGTATATACTCGGGAGGATCTAAGTACTCTACCTGATCTAGGACCAAACCCTTTCCCTACTATGGACGACATGACCATTCACGAGATAGGAATATTGAAATTACTAAAGGGACTGCGCCCATTCAAAGCTACTAGACCTGACGAAAGCCCAGCGTTTATCTTGAAGCAAAGCGCAGAGTCCATAGCCCCATATCTGACGAGGATGTTCCAGTTTTCCTTAGATCATGGTCAGATACCAGATGAATGGCGCCGAGCAAACATCGTCCCTATATACAAGAAAGGGGAGAAACATCAACCATCAAATTACAGGCATGTCTCCCTTACATCAATAGCCTGCAAGCTCCTGGAACATGATGTACACAGCACAGTTATGGACCACTTTGATCGGAACAACACCCTCTGTGATGAGCAACATGGCTTCCGAGCCCGCTGATCATGTGAGACACAACTTGTCATAACACTGGACCAGATAGCGAGGAATATGGACCAGGGGCAAAAGACATTGGACTTTTCAAAGGCTTTTGATAAAGTTCCTCACCAACGTCTTCTACTGAAGTTGGAGCACTACGGAGTGTCAGGTACCACCCTAGGCTGGATTAAGGACTTCCTAAGTTGTAGAACCCAATCAGTGGTTCTGGATGGTCATACATCTTCACCTCTGGATGTCCTTTCGGGAGTACCACAAGGAACTGTCCTGTGACAGTTATTCCTGACCTACATTAATGACTTACCGGAGTGCACCAATTCAGACGCCAGACTGTTTGCAGATGATTGCCTCGTCTATAGTCAGATCCGAAATCAGAGAGATGCAATCAAGTTACAGGAAGATTTCACTGCCTTAGAGGGATGGGAAAAGAAGTGGCAAATGTTTCCACCCCGAAAAGTGCACGATTATTAGGATCTCCAACAAACGGCAGCCACTGCAAACATCTTACACCTGGCATGGACATCAGCTGGAAGTGGTGGAGAGTGGGAAGTATCTTGTTGTTACCATCTCCCAAGACCTACAATGGACCAAAGCACATCTGCACAAATATAGGGAAAGCTACAGGAACCTTGGACTTCCTGAGACGAAACCTGGACCATTGTACATCATCAGTTAAGGCAACAGCGTACTGTACTATGATCAGACCATCGATCGAATATGCGTCATCAGTGTGGGATCCTTATCAGGCCAACTTAACAAAGGATATGGAGCAGGTACAGCGTAGAGCAGCCAGGTTCGTCTTCAACCAGTACTCGGACACCTCCCCTGCGTCTGTATCATCATTACTGGACCAACTAGAGTGGGACTCACTCCAGCATAGGAGAACATTACATCGACTTATTCTGTGCAATAAAATCAGGAACCACCTTGTGGACATTAATCCATACAAATATTACACACCTGGGAACATAAGAAATAGAGGTAGCCATAGATATAGACAGTCTCGTGTCACCAAGGAGGTTTATAAGAATTCCTTCTTCCCTCGTTCGTTGAGAGATTGGAATCGTCTGCCAGAGACAGTGTCAGCAGCAGCTACTACAGAGGAGTTCAGGAGGGGACTAGACAGTGTCCCCTGGACCCAGCTGCAACCCTGGTAGACGTGATAAGCCATTGTACATAGTTGTGTCTGTTTTTAAAAGAAGCCTCCTGTTTTAACCAAGCCGGAGTTATAATCACTCTTAATCAGAGGTCAACTCCTTACTGGAAGAAGAAGAAGAAGAAAATGGATCAAGTTTACTTAGTCAAAATTTTGGAATTGTCTCTTCAACAATAAGAAAATGTTCTAATCCTTGTTTGATCTGGTAAATATATAAATTGTTTTCAAATTAACTTGCTATCGGAAGAAACATACATCTCTATTACGAAACATTGTCATCTATCAAAAAATAATTAAATAAATAAAAAAAATAACACGATATTGAGTGCAGATTTATCTGTTAAAATAATTTTTTCACCGATTCTGAACTCGGATAATCTCACGTTTCTCTCCTTAAATTGACTATGTTTACATTTGCAAATATTTTTATTAGAAGAACCTATTGAAGAGAAAATATTTATGAACTTATTAGGGGGAATGTGACCGAATCACCCGGCGAGATGATATCTTGCCTACATATTTCTGTCACAGTGAAAGTGCTTTCGGAACTTCTAACTCGATAGCGATGAAAAAGATAAATTAATTGAAACATATGGATGTCTATGGATGTTTTACATTCAACAGATGTTCATTAGATCTTCCTTCGGAGTGAAGAATGTTTTGAATAATATCATTAGCCTAAAATCGTGCTTACCTTTTTAACCCGAAATTCCTTTGAAGGTATGTAAACTGAAACAGACGATACCACCGCTTTTGACTGAACATATATAAAGAACTCGTAAAATAGAAAGATTATTCTTAGTGGCGATCATTGTTCTTTCATTATAAACAGAGATCAGCTGAACATCCATTTAAATATTCAAATGTTGGAGCGAGGCAAACTTTCAAAACCAAACAACTTCTAGGTCATTACGGGTCACAACATAGCGATACGTTCACTTGGAAATGAACTTGGTTGGTACGTGATCAAATCTACTGAGAAGCCCTTCGGGCTTCACAGGATTTGATCAAGTGACCAACCAAGTTCATTTCCCAGTGAACTTTTTAACATTGTTGTTTACTCTTAAATGAATTTATTAGGGGGTCAGATGTCATAGCGTGGCCGAATCACACGGCAAGATATCTTGCCTGCATATTTCTATCACAGTGGTTTCGGAACTTCTATCTTGATAGCGATGACAAAGATAAAATTATTAAAACATATGAATATTTTTTTCACAATCAACAGATAACCCTTAGATCTTTCTCGGTGTAAAGAATGGTTTGAAAATTAAATTAAAATCGCGCTTACTTTTTTAACCCGAAATTCCTTTGAAGGTATTTAAACTGAAAGTGAAACAGACGATACCACCGCTTTTGATACAACTTATATTTAGAACTCACAAAACAGTAGGATTATTTTCAATAGTTAGAATTCTAGAAAAGATTTACCATCATACTAATAGTCCATCATCGAGTACACCTTTCCATAGACAACCAGAAGAATACTGGATTAGGAAACTAGGCACAGGCTTTCCACATGGAAGCAATGACAATGTCGATAGTATTGGGGATCTTTCAAGTCCACAGTGTAGCAATGTGAATGTGATGGGACTTTTTAACAATACTCGGAGACGTAAGCGTAGTCATGGAAATCGGTCATACAATAAACCTATTATACACGATGTTTCTTTTGATTCACTACTACTTTATGTAAATAAATAGTTAGGTCTCCATCACATTCGCACCAAACTTTACTCTGTCCCGTTGAAAGTTCTATATGGTCTATTTGAAAAGGTCAAGGAAAGTCCATATCTTCGACACCAGAATACAGGCTTGGATCTGTGATAATGGATATTGCAAACCGCCACCTTTTACAGAAGATAATACAGCTCAAACAAACAGTTAGTTCCTTAAACTTCAATTTGCAAAACAAAGGAATCGACGCAGTTAATATTAGTAATATTCTTAATCACAAAAGGGTCCAGTCTTGTATTCCACCACATTTCAAGTTGAAGTCCACACCTTGTATTTCTTACAAATATACAT